CATCGACGTCACAGATCATAATTTGCATAGTCTCAAGTGTTGATGCAAGTCTCCTGTGAAATCATGGAATGAATTTGTTTACCTGGAAATAGAATGAGCATCAGTCAGATTCCGAATGTTTCTGCTCTTGTAGTTTTTCTATGGCAACATCAACAAGCATTCGAAATGAACGGAAGTTTTCGTCTTTTTCCGTGGTATCTGGAACAGATGGTGGAGTAGATGGAGGGGTTGGGCTGAGAGAGGATACACTCCGACCATCAGAGTGAACACTGCTGTTGTATTGCACAATGTGAACTGGTTGTTGGTAGCTTTTTGGTTCTTCATGACTAGATATAGGTTGTGGTGTTGGAGTATACTTGGAGCTTACTCTGACTGTTGCGGATTCGGACTCGTAAATATCACTCGAGGATGACCCTTCATAATCTGAAGTATACCCATCCGTGTCCTGAACAGGGGATTTATTGCCTTGTGCGCCATCCTTTTTATTGCACTGTTTAATTTTAAGTGGGTTAAATGTAATGAAATTAGTTTCGCCTTTTAATACGTGTTCGTCGAACCTGTCAAGCAACGATTGTTTGTGTTTACGAGTGATGGTATACTGAAGAGGATCATGTCCATCTCTTTTTATCATATCTGGTAAAATCCTCCTTCTCGCATTGATAAACCAATTACACACTTGTAAAACTGTAAGGTTGGCTGAATTGGCGAGATAACTTTTCTCGTTGTCAGTTGGGTAGGCATTGTATCTATGCTCATAAAGCCAGTTTTTCAAGATCCTAACACTTTCTTTTGGCAAATTTCCTCTCCTTTTCTTTGCGCCCGGTTCATCCGAATCTTTATTTGATCCATCTTCAGTGTCGCACTCGTGTTCCCGAGGCTTTTCTACCTCGCGTGCTGAAAATAAAGAAGTTATATATAGAATAAACAGCGCGGGAATCGGCCGACGCAAATGTCAAACAAAAGTAGGTCATGAGAGTTGACAGATGTCAAAAATGCTTCGCCACGTTTCAATGCAAAATATCAACCAATAACACACCTGTAGTAAGTAATAGCGTCAAAACAAACTTTCAAAATTTTTAGAATGCATGAAAACACATTTAAGAAACAAACGCGACTTAAACTGGCTCCCTTTACTACGCAATCAGTGACAACAAAGGGCAAATATGGCCACAACAATTTCAACTGTCAAACTATTACAAGTTTTATCATCATCACAATGATTTATAGCGTAAAAACTCATCGGGAGAATACATATATAATATCCAGAAGCAATACATTTTTCTATGTTAGAAATCAACAGTTTGAAAACGTCAAAATAAAGTTCATCCTTACTAACCACGTGTTCTTTGAAAACAGTTTTAACAAGTTGTTATTGATTCGACAATCAGTCAAGTTAAAACACTTGGCGCAAAAAGTGACTAATATATTGATCTTACCTCTTTTAGGTCTATTTGTATCCATTTTATCTTGCTTCAAAAAAAACTGAAATTATTAGTGACAGGTTACCGAAACACCTTGCAAGCGTTTCTTCGTAAAGCTCACTGTTGTAACTACGCGGACAATTTTTGGCATTAGCCTCGTTGGTTTGACAAGCGCGCTAAACCACGTGGTCTATGACTCTACAGCTGACGACAATTTGATTGGTTGGCTGTCAAAGGCTATTAAGGGGTCAAAGGTTGTAAAGATTAGTGGTATACGAAATGTCACTTGCTCCAGGCCAGGAAGTTTGGTTACGCAACAATCAACCCCAACCAAACAAAGGATCAGAAAATCGTTAGCGCCAAATAAAAGGGATAAATAAAAATGCCAGTAAGCCAAGAATTCTTATTCGGGCGTAAAAGTTGTAAGCTGTATCAATTACGCGTCGTTGTTTTTTCTACTTTCTATTATCCGATATTCTCGGGGCAAATATAAATTTTCCCACCTGCTATAAAGTATTATTATACATGAGCGGGATTTCCTGTAATGGTTCAGAATGCAAAAGTAATTGTACTTATAGGGAGGTTTATTTCATTCTAATATCGAAATACAAAAGCGAATAACGATTCTAGAGAAGCGGAAACGTCGGTTGTAAATGTTTAATTTGCTACAATAAGACCTCCTCAAATACCGGGATGTTATCCCCTTAATTGAATATAACTGAGCTTGTTCTCGTCTCTGTGTATATCGATTTTCTATAATATCAGAATTTAAGTAACAAAGACAGTAAACTAGTTAAATGGACCACACCATAGTCCTATTGTCCTTTTCGTAGTATATAATGAGTATCTAGTTGACATTTTAAAGCAGATGTTCGGTATCTATGTTGAAACAATGGATATGCAAATTAATTACTCAGTATCACACCCACCCCACACGTTCCACTTTTAGTGCTCATGAACGTCTATTTTTAACTATATAAAGAGAGTATTCCGTTAACGATACCAGTAAGATGACCATCATGTATGTGCAGCCAACACGGCTTTATGTGCAAGATATCCGGCCTGAAAATGTAAAACAATGAAAAACTAAAAACAAACAGTGATCATAGAGGACTTTTTGTGACAGTCATACATTTCTTGGGGAAACAATTTTGGTTCTAGCCTGATAAGGGTCAGAAAGTTATAACATAAATGCACATCCCCTGTTAGATTTAAAATATTCGATATCCCTAAAATAACCACAATACCGCTGGACAAAATTATTAATAGCATTAAAAAAAACGAACTATGAATAGTAAATTAAAATTAGAACATGCTGTATTAGACTCACAATTTTCTAAACTTTAAAACAATTAAATGTCCGTGTTATGTAATTATGGGAAAACTTATTGTAATACAATGTAAGTGTTTAATTATACTCAAGCAAACCCTGAACATTAATTTGGCCACGAGCGCGCACACACCCACACACATACACACACAGATTTAGATTTCTATCGTAGCTTTAACAGATTTGCAGTGATATTGCTACAATGTCTGCAGGGTAGCAGTTTATAGTAACGTTTAGCATAGGGGCATCATGCCGCAGACATGCAGCATCCTGTTCCGCCCAGTCACGTTATCAGGACAATCCTCTTAATGCTGATCGCCTAGCGAGGCATCTGTTAGTATCCTTTTTATAAGTCTTTGATGTGACTCGCCAAAGATTTTAACCCGCGACCTCACGTATCGGAGGCGGACGCTCTAGCTTCTAGGCTTCGATAGCGGAGAGACAGACAGAGACAAAGGCAGAAATGATGGACAGATGGACTCGGAATTGAAAACTATCAATTCACGAATTCCCGTGTATGCTAGAATGCTAGAAGGACTGACGGACGAGTAAACTTATTTAAGATTATGTACCCTAAATATACGGCAACACCATTCCTTTATCACTAAAATACAAAACAGCACATGAAACTGATCACTAGTTACAGCGGTAGCTGAGCTGGTAATGTGTCACGAGTTCGAAACCAACTCTAGCCAACTAGGGTGTTCAACTTTTCGTGTGTCACTCGGAAAGGCACTAACTAGAACATCCTCCGAAAGATATAACAAATAATGTGTACAACAATAATACAAACTCAATTACTAACATAATAGTGGTGTACTGTTTGTGCTAGTGTCTGTTAGACTTAGGTACTAATTATAAAGCAGAAAGAAAACCAGATTTGAAATTGGTGAATGCAAAAGCGAGCATATACGGGATTTGCTGTCAAAGACTGGTTGATAATGAAAAGGAAAAAAAGAGAGAGCTGACATTTTTCGTAACTGAAAAATATTGATGTTAAACTGATGGAAACTCAGTCCTTGCAAACACTTGACCTTTTAAAACTTATTACTGGCATTAGTACCTGAATCGTCTGGTAAGGAATTGAAAAGCCATGTTTCACACACACACAAACACACACACACGCACACAATTTTATGCAAATAATAATATCATACAGGTTAGATAATTATAATTCGTACTATACGGAATTTCGAACCCAGGTCCGCGAGTAAATGGCACCCATCGCCTTCCTGCACACATCAGCCCATAACCCGTCACGACTAAGCACGCATCACCAAAAAAAAAAAAAATTATGGCACTGAAATCGGTGTTATATGAACTTGTGTGTAGCAGACACTCGCTTGACGACCTAGCGATTAATTCTCAGATATATGTAAATTTGTTCCAGATTCCTATTGAAGAAATCAAGGTATATAGGCATTTTATTACAGAGAAATATAAATATATACCAAACAGAACAGAAAGTGATATCCCTGGATTTTATTGAAGAATGCGTGATAATAGTAGGTAGAATTAATAATTTAATACAAGTAATACTATCATACAGGTTAGAGAATTATAATTCGTACTCTACAGGTTTTATATATATATATATATATATATATATATATATATATATATATATATATATATATATATATATATATATATATATATACACACACACACACACACACAGACAATTGCAGCAAGGATATGTCTCTACTGATAAATATAAGTTTGATCATGAACATTTAGAGATGTAATGTTTGGGTTTTTATGTCATGGTAGAACGCCAGCTGAATTTATTTCAGGGCGGGGAACATGTAATGGTCAGGAACGAAGTTTTATGCATGTAGGACAAAACATATTTAGAGCAAATAATCTACACAGATTATATCTGTTAAAATCTACACAGATTCTCTCTCTCTCTCTCTCTCTCTCTCTCTCTCTCTCTCTCTCTCTCTCTCTCTCTCTCTCTCTCTCTCTCTCTCTCTCTCTCTCTCTCTCTCTCTCTGATTTCGAACGCAAAGTTATAAATTTTAGTCCTATGATAACTGCGATGTCTGCTGCGTGGCGATTTATACTGATGTCTAGCATTGGGGCTTCATGCCGCAGACATGTAGCATTATGTACCACCCGGTAACCTAATCCTAACACAAAGCCGACAAGTAGGCTTAATAACACTATCGTCTTAAAGCTGAGCGCAAAGCGAGGCATCTGCTTATACCAGTTTGATAAGTTTATGGTATAATAAGTTTCTGGTATGATTCGGCTGGTGTTCGAACCCAGGACCTTCCGCATCTGAGGCGGACGCTCTAACTGTTTGTCAGACCACCTTGATTATTTAAGAAATAAGGATTGGCCGAGATATTTGAAATGCGTCAAACTATTTTCCCCTCATTAATAACTTCTCAACTAGTCCTACGGTTTATCCATTAGTAGGATTAGCCGAGATGGCTTGAATAGATCGGGGGCGGGTGGGAAAAATGTCCGGTAAACAAGATTTTTTTTATTTGTCTTCTGCAAATAACTGCAGAGAAACATCTTTGGCATAATTGTGTCTCGCATAAATAGCAGATGGACATATTTTTGTCTCAGAAATAGCCACGATGGGCCAAATGCACAAGAACATTGATCAAGCCTTGCCGTATAAAAGAGGGCAACTTTCGTAATATGACATAATCAAACATGAGACATAAAACTGCAACAGTTCAAGACGAATTTCTACCGGGGATATAATTAGCACCAAATTGCACGAAAATACAAAACAGTCCACCTTACGGAGGATCGGATTAATTAATAAATATTTTGTTTATTTAGCATTTGTTCAATTATTTCTTTGCGGCAAGTTTTGTTTACTTTTCTACTAAAGCCCAAAACCGCCCTTAGGTGCAAAAAGTCGTACGTACCAAATCATGTGAATAATACTTAATCTTGAAAGATACGAGTCACCAGCATCATTGGCTTCCATTAAAATAAGACAATATCTACGCTTCACATTATGAGGCATATAAATTCTCCCTTGAATTGAGAAACACAGCGATGTTTGACGAATGAATCCAACGTTAATCGGCGACATTCTTACCTCTTCGATTTCAGTCGAAAGCTAAAACACAAAATTTGATGACGTAAACACTGTAAACGGCGGAAGTCAATACCACTTTATACCTGATTTTGTTTAGTTTAAGTTCGCCTTTCAGATTAAATCAAGTGACCCAGCTGATCACAAATATTCACCATAGCCTTATTCAGTGTAATGGGTCCTTTTTCTTCTCAGATCCGCTTTTTTTATTTTTTAATAGCGGGCTTGCCTCTCTTCATTACCTCTAGAATCAATTTGTGCAAATGCTATTATATTAGTCATTAACGGAATTGTTTGAATGTATCACATCACTACTTTTGCAGCATACCCGATAAAGAATGGAATTACGATCGACGTCATCAAATGAATTAAGAGATGGCTCTTCTTTATTCTAAAATGATTATTTAAAAATCGTTTAAACCTAACATCAAGATTATTTCAAAGAACTATTTCTTTTTAACAAATCATTTCCTTCTTTCAAAACTTTGGTTAGATTGGAAGAGAGGTGAACTTTATGATAAACAGAGGCACTAGGGGTTGAAATAAGAAGATGAAATGTGTAGTTGTTATTATTGTAGGCTTAAAGCTATTTTTTGGCATATGATAGGCTCTAGTGATAAAGACTTACAGTACTAGTTTCAGTTACCAGAGCAAACCTATGCAAACGCGATTACTTTAAATTTCTTAGTGCTTATGATCAAACCTGTATTCGTCAGTATATATACATCATGGATGACAGCTTCTAAGTAAAGAAAAAGCACGTGGTCGGCACCAATTTTTGGACCTTTGTGTGTTTTAAGCGCGTATTTTCAATCCGTAGCAAAAAGAGTCTGTTGCTAATTTTAGTAACGAGTATTCCAAATTCAGTTCTGTTAAAGCACTGAAATTTCATCAATAAAACAATGGTCTCAATGTATTGTTATGGGGCAGCTCTTATGGTGTTTGACCCTGTTTAATAAATAACATTTATTTGAACTATTTACTTATACACATATGTTGTCTGGTATATTTTTCGGTTCTTTCTTGGTTTCATTAAACGATGGTAAATTACGTTATGGTACGGTCATTGGTATTGGGCATAGAGCGTGTAAAGGATTGGAAGCCTCTTTATAGAAAGGGAGAAACGTCACGTCTAAACAACTTTTTCCTTTAAATGTTTGGAACATTTTGTCAATCTATAACTTATTGTGGGGTTCTAAGTATTGCCTTTGTACGAACGGTCTCAAGCAATTTCTTATATAAAACAGTATTTCAAAGTAACTAACAGTCCGTCCTTTTCAAAATGCACTATTTCCACCACCAATAAAACCATAATGACAACCATCTCAATGACCAACATCGCCATTTCCATAATGAGACTAGGCCCAAGACATATTTATTATACTTTCATTTTCTAGGAAATTTTAATCACTACTCTAGTTTCTCTTTACAACTAAATAACAAAAAAAAGAAATATGTAATCGTTCTATTTCAAATTATACAATTTATTATGATAAGAATTGTCTGATGTTGTTTTTATACGTTTCTATCATAACCTTCTTCTCGTGTCTAATTACGAGAAGGCAAGAAGTTCAGCATTCATAAGAATAAGGTGTCACATATGATGGTGTAGATTACATCTTTTGTGGGGAATGCTTGGCTGCGAAGAGGTGGGATCGCTGTAATAAATAGACATGATACTCTTTTGAGCATTGAACCGCACTTTATTGACATATATATAGATACATATTCTAAAGATACAACATGTAAATTTATTTATGTTGAAAATACATACTATACATATTACAATACTTATTAAATAGTTCTTCCACAATCTAGTATTTCATTTGTCCATTCATTTTTCTGTATTTTTGAATACAAGTGATTTAAATATTTAAAGCGCCTAAAATTCAATAACTGTAATAAATGTATTTTATTTTATTTATTGTAAGGTAAAGACCTGAAAAAGATCTGTGAATGTTATACTTATTATTTAAAGAATATATATTTATTCTCAATTAAATTATAACATGAAGCTAGTAATTATTTCAAACAAATACTAATGAACAGGGAAGCTGTAAAATATTTCGTTACATTATGATTGTGGAAGAAGGGAACTCAATAATATTATATTATAAATACAATGAACATCAATTCAGTAAAATATTAAATCAGTAAAATATTTCATAGTAGAAAAGAGAACTCACTATTACATTATATTAATGAAATAAAAATAATTCAGAAGAATACCACAACTCACTATAAAATCTTTAACTTCCAAAAGCGAGTATAAAGCATAAGTTTCTTACCTGTAAGAAATAGACATGATACTCTTTTGAGCATGGAACCGCACTTGAGAATAAAGCAGCTCAAAGCCTTTTTTATATTCTGGAAGCTGCCTGATCACAAGTGCTACATCCAGTCTCAAAAGATGTTTGTCTAAAAATGACGCGTGCTTCTTGCGTGCTTTCCAAGGACAGCTTTAACTTTATATCAAGTTTTAGTGTGTGTGTGTGGGGGGGGTAGAGTGTGAGTGTGGACGGTATTTTTCCAAGTAACGACCTTTTGGATCATGTCCATAACCTTCCAGTGGTCATTCACATTGTAAACTTAATTAATTTAATTATTCCCTAGGGTGATTATCAATTACTTTGTTCCCAACATCTCAACGAAATCTAATAAGGTTTTATTGATTGAATGGTGCGATAAAACATTATTTGGCTTCTATCCGATTGAACTATTGAACTGGCTTATTAATTAGGCTTTTTCCATTACCAAGTGAAAGCTGAACAATAATAAATGCCTAATCTAAATTCATTTCAATGTCATTATTATATTCAGGATATGAATTATTGATTGGAGCACGCTTCTCCTACACTCCAATCAATATCAAAGCACTATCTTAAATTTGGATGTTTTTATCTTCCAATAAGTAGAGATTTCAATATGTTGTACACAAATTAATATTTCTGTTTCTTTCTTTTAGAATTGATATCTTGATAAATTCATACACGCTGCGCTATCATTGTATGTGATGTGTCAAATTTTAAAAGTTGTTGAAACTCAAGGTTAAAAAAAGCTGTGCTTTCAAATTCACATAATTGAAGCAGAAAAGTCTAGAGAAAGTTGAAAGCTTATTTCTTTATTTCATCTCAAAACGTAAAAGGAACTACGTTTAAGCTCCAATAGTATCTGACCCGGTCATTTTTATGGTACATGGCGTACGCGTAAGCATACTCCGACTCGTATCAGTTCAAAAGAGGCGCAAGTCAAATAATCGATTTTTCAAAGAAAGCTAATTGCAGCTAGTGAAATCGACGACAGACGTTATTTGGAGGGAAATTTTATGAGCTGTTGTTTCTGATTGGCCATGGAAACTGAAGAGCGTACACTTTGGGAAACAATTTAGGGGCTATCTCTTGCAAAACTATGGTGACTCTGGAGACGCTAGTGAATAGTGTTCTTCGTGAACTACTAAAAGGGGACAGATAACTGTCTTAAAAAAGGAGACAGACTAGTTAGGACACTGTTTAGGAAGAAGAAAAAAAAAACGGCAGTAAGGAACGCAATTTAAAGTTTCCAATTTTTAATATGCTATTTCATTTCTTCGATTGTTTGCAGACATGATATGTCATGATTCATGCATGTATCGTATTCATTTCGATGGACTTTATTGATATCTTATTTTTATACCATTTATTTCTTGGATTCTTCAATTATCAATTCAATGAGAGAATTTTGTTGGATCGCATGTAATTAGATATTAGATATGTAGAATTGCGTAGGGATTTCATGAATTTACCCTAATAAATGAATATGTCATATTTCCTAGGATATATGACTGGATTTTCTGTGTAGGATAATATTTACTCTTGCGGGTTAATGCCAAGTGTGTATTTACATATGAGTTCGCAATATTTAATTGCTCACGCAAGTCACTTTAGGATAGTTAGATTTAGTGGATATTATGTCATAAATAATTAAACATTAAACTGCATTGAATAGCCAAATGTAAATAAGTCGTTTTGTAACGTATGCTGGCATATACGGCCACATTTGTCTGTAAAAAGTGCGTGGAAATTTATGATGACTTACCTCGGTGTGAATGAACTTGAGCTAAGGTCATTTGAACCACTTAAAGTTTACATACCACAAACACAAAACATGTTAGGTTTATTGGTTAAATTCACCTTAGGTCAGAATTGTGCAGTGTAAACCACCTAAATCTGAGCACGATATATATATATATATATATATATATACATATATATAAAAAT